CAGAAGTCTATTTTAACTCTCTATAACTCTGATATAACTATCTATAACTCTCTATCAATGTGCTGTAACTAACTATACTACAACCCTATCTCTCTCTATCTCCTACAACACACTACTTAGGGCCGCGGTATCAGCAGCCTTATATAGTGTGCTGCAGGGACTTAGCTGTGAGACATGATTGGGCAGAGTCATCGTGACTTTGCCCAATCATGGCTCTATATTTGTACTGAGCCCTGATTGGCACAGTCTTGCACCTGACCGCAGGTCAGGTGCAAGACTGTAGCCAATTGCCGTTTCGGACGGCGCAGTGCATTGTGGGATGTGCCGCGGTCGAACAGACCGCGGACATCCCATAATGTTCGGCGAACGCTAGAACATGCAATGTTTGAGTCGAACCTATGTTCGACTCGAACGTTCAGCCCATCCTTAGTAGCTAGCTCCTTTTGCGCCTGAGGCAAGAACAGAAAATTGTGCCCCACAAAAGACCTGTGAGGTATGTGATGTCATGTGCCTCGCCTCCAGGATAGCAGCGCGCATGCGCAAAATGCACTGGAGTCCAAATCCAAAATAGCATAAAAATCTGTTTTGTTTGACGAAACTAATGAAAACATTTTTAGTTTCCGTTCATTTAGTCCAAAACAAATTTTTAGTGTGTGTGGTGTTTTTCGTGTTTTGTTTTTTTTTACTGTTGGGGGGCTTCGGGGGAAATATTAGGGGTCCAAACAGATCCCTGACATTTCCCTTTTGAAATAGAAAAAGAGATTGAGGACCCGGAGTACTCTGCCCGTATAGCAGCGGGGATCAGAGGAGAAGCTGGAGCCTGTGCCGCTCCTCTTCTCCCTTCTGAGCCGTGGCTGTTAGCAGCCTGGCGTCCCTGTTACCAATGGCACCCTGTGCTCGCCATGGCAACAGGACAAGGGCTGGCCTGGCTGCGCCCCCTCTCAGCTGCGCCTGAGGCAAGTGCCTCACTCGCCCCATGGTAGCTACAGCCCTGCCTATGTATAATCATTCTCTAACTGTAGAAGGGTAGATGTAGGTGCTAAGCAGATACCTCAATACCTCAACAGTGCCAAACTGCAAGTACAATAGGATGCTAAGTGATAAGACCATTATCAAACCACTTTTCTCTCCCGTTCATTGAAGGACACAGGCAACAGATCGTAGATCCTGAATGGTAGGGTAATATCGCCACCTGCAGGAGAAGGACGCTAGGCACAAAACCAAAGACCAATTACAGCCTAGGGGCGGCCCCTGCCGGTGGCCAAACCCCCCACCTGCTGACAAGTCTCCAGTTTTTTGCCTAGCGTCAGGAGTAAGGAGCTAAAAAAAATTCTCTGGAGACATTTTTTTTTTCCCTTCTTCCTTCTTGGATGAGGGCAAATTTGCCCTTTCTTTTTTGTCACTTCCGCCCGGGCTTCCTTCAGCCTCGGGCGGATGGGGAGTGTGTTCCTTTCGGCCCCGGACGCCTTGACGGAAGGACACACAGGGTGCAGCTCTCCTCTGCCTTGCGGAGTCGGCCGGCTGGGCTTGGACAAGGACGCTGGGGGTCGTGAGTAGCGGGGTCCCTGTCTCCATCTCCCTTGCCTGGTGGTCTGCAGTCGGTGGGGTGGTTTTGTGCGGGTGTGCAATGATCGCAGGGATGAAGCCCCTACATTGCCTTGTATGGGCTGTGGGCAGCGCTCTGCGGACCCCTCTAGATCCCCTCTTGTGCGTCCTGTACGCCTGCGCTGCTTTGCCAGTCGCCCGTGCGTCCCTCTGGTTCTTCAGGGGGGGTGGGTGGTACCACGGGTACCCCATTGTCCCTGGAGTCCTTTTCCTCTGTCATGGACGGGTTTGTAATGCGCATGGAGCGCGCCTTGACACAGCGCCCACCTAGAAAGCGGGCTTTTACCCTTCCCATCCCCTGCCTTGTCAGGGGAGTCTGAAGAGGAGGGGGAACTTCCCGCGACGTCGCCTCATCCTGATCCGGGTGATTCCTCACATCCTGTTTCGGCCAGTGAGGATGAAGCTGCGTCTACGCTCCATGATCCAGGAACGTGAAATGGTCTCCGCGCTGTCAGGGAGACCCTTAAAATTGAGGACGTTGCCAGCACGTCCGCGCTGCCGCACGTGCAGTTTGGGACACACAAGAGTAGCCGTTCTGCCCTTAATCAAGGCCACGGTTATTCCGGTGGAGGATTCTCCGTCCTTTAAGGACCTTTTCGATAGGAAGGCTGAGGCGCTTTTGTGGTCTCTGTCTCGGGCGCGCTCATGTGTCCGGTCTTGGCGTCTGCTTTGGTCTCTCAGACACTAAGTGGGCTAAGATGTTACATCAGGGGCTTGCGGAGGAGAATGTCTCCCCCGTTTTCGTGGAATTGGCGGACCAGTTGGTGCAAGGCCTTCGCTATGTCTGCAATTCAGCCTTGGATGCGGTGCCCTTGGTGTCCAAGGTGTCGGCGGTGATACTTCGCCGTTTGCTCTGGCTTGAATGCTGGTCGGCTGATATGGCTTCCAAACAGGCTCTACAGGTGTTGCCTTTTACTGGGGACCGTTTGTTTGGTTCCACCTTGGATGGGATCATTGAGGATCTGGCAGGGGGTAAGAGTACCTTCCTTCCCAAGGCGCGCAGGAAGGAGCAGTGCCATAGGCCTGGGCCTACTTTCTCCGCTCACAAGGGCTTTTTTGCCCCCCGCCCTCCGACAAGGGCGGTAAGTTTAACAAGTCCTCCACTTCCCACTCCTCCAAGCGTCCGTGGCAGCCCGAGTCTGCCAAGCCCGCCAGCAATTCTTGGCGTCTGCTTTGGTCTCTCAGACTCTGAGTGGACTAAGATGTTACATCAGGGGCTTGCGGAGGAGAATGTCTCCCCCGTTTTCGTGGAATTGGCGGACCAGTTGGTGCAAGGCCTTCGCTATGTCTGCAATTCGGCCTTGGATGCGGCGCCCTTGGTGTCCAAGGTGTCGGCGGTGATACTTCGCCGTTTGCTCTGGCTTGAATGCTGGTCGGCTGATATGGCTTCCAAACAGGCTCTACAGGTGTTGCCTTTTACTGGGGACCGTTTGTTTGGTTCCACCTTGGATGGGATCATTGAGGATCTGGCAGGGGGTAAGAGTACCTTCCTTCCCCAGGCGCGCAGGAAGGAGCAGCGCCGTAGGCCTGGGCCTACTTTCTCCGCTCACAAGCGGTTTTTTCGCCCCCGCCCTCCGACAAGGGCAGTAAGTTTAACAAGTCCTACTCTTCCCGCTCCTCCAAGTGTCCGTGGCAGCCCGAGTCTGCCAAGCCCGCCAGCAAGCCCCAGTCCGCATGAAGGTCGGGCCCCTACTCTGGTTCCCAGGGTGGGGGGCGCCTTCGGCTCTTTGCGGATTTTTGGCTGGCCCACGTTTCCGACTCTTGGGTCCGGGAGCTGGTTTCTTCGGGCTACGAGATCGAGTTTCTGTCCCGTCCGGGAAAACGTTTTTTCCCGTCCAACACGCGACTCGGATCTCCATCGCGCTGTGGTGGACCTTTTGTCCCGGGGGTGATTGTGCCTGTTCCGTCCTCAGAGAGGTTCAAAGGGTTTTATTCAAACCTATTTACTGTGCCCAGGAAAGAGGGGGTGTGGCCCATCCTGGACCTCAAGCGTTTGAACACCTTCGTGCGGGCCCGTCGGTTCCGGATGGAGTCGATCCGGTCTGTGGCGGCCTGGCTTCGTCAGGGAGATCTTCTGGCCTCCATCGATATTCGCTATGCATACCCTCATGTACCCGTTTGCGAGTCTCATCAGCGGTATCTTCGTTTCGCGGTGGGGGAGGACCATTTTCAGTTTGTGGCGCTGCCCTTCGGCTGGCGTCGGCCCCATGTGTTTTCACCAAGGTGCTGGCCCCGATCCTGGCGCTGTTGCGTTGTCGGGGGGTTTCGATCGTGGGGTGCCTGGACGATCTGCTCCTACGGGCGGAGTCGCATGCTTCGATGGTGACGGCTCTGGGGGGTCACGGTGCGGTCCTTGGAGGAGTTCGGGTGGCTGCTGAACATACGGAAGTCTTGCCTGGTGCCCTCTCCACGTCTGGAGTATCTGGGTTTGGTTTTGGACACTGTCGCGGCCCGGGTCTTTCTCCCTCGGGACGAGCTCCTGAAACTCCGTTCCAAGGTCCGGCTACTGAGGACTCGCCAGTGGTCGCCCATACGGTTTTGCGTGCAGGTCCTGGGTCTCATGGGGCCTCCTTCGAGGTGGTGCCCTTTGCGCAACATCGTACCAGGACCCTGCAGGGGAACATCCTGGTACCGTGGGACAAGTCCCCCCTGTCCTTGGACAGGGAGATTCGGATCTCTCGGGAGGCAAGGACCTCCCTGCGGTGGTGGCTTCAATCTCCGGCCTTGGTGCGGGGGAAGTCTTTCCTTCCCGTGCACTGGACGGTGGTCACCACGGACGCCTGCCTTTGGGGCTGGGGCAGGGTCCTGGGCGCCTTGACCGTGCAGGGTCATTGAACGTCGGTGGATCCGGGGGAGTGGCCTTTTCACCCGGAGGTTTTTCGGCAGCTGTGTAGTCGCTGGGCGACGCCGGAGGTGGATCTTCTGGCGTCTCGGTTTCCCCGGAAGGTGGACAGGTGTGTGTGGCCCGGGTCCTGGATCCCTGGGCGGTGCAGTGGATGCCCTGGTGGCTCCTTGGGGTCCTTACGGTCTACTTCACACCTTTCCCCTCTGTATCTGTTGCCTCGGCTGCTGCGTCGGATCGCGGCCAAGGGCGTCACCATCATCCTCGTGGCCCCAGACTGGCCTCGGAGGGTGTGGTACGCGGACGTGGTTCAGCTGGTGGTGGACGCCCCATGGCGTTTGCCTCTGCGCCCCGGTCTTCTGTCACAGGGACCTGTGTTCCGTCCTTCTTTACAGTCGCTGGCTTTGACGGCGTGGCTGTTGAGAGCCTGGTCCTGAAGGACCGGGGGTTGTCCGATGCGGTTATTTCCACTATGCTCAGAGATCGCAAGCGGTTTCTAGAAAGATTTACCATCGCACGTGGAGGGCCTATTTTGCCTGGTGTGAGGTTGGGGCCCTGTCCCGGCGTTTATTCTCCATCAGCAGAATCCTTGCATTCCTGCAGCGCGGGGTGGCTCAGGGGCTGGCCTTGAGTACTGTGAAGGGCCAAATCTCTGCCTTGGCGGTGCTTTTCCAGCGGCCTTTGGCGTCTAATGCTCTGGTTCGCACCTTTTGTTCAGGGGGTGTCGCGCATTGCTCCCCCTGTCCGCTCGCCTTTGGCTCCGTGGGATCTGAATCTCGTGTTTTCAGTGTTGCAGGAATCCCCGTTTGAACCTCTTCGGGGGATTCCGCTTATGTCTGTCACAAAGTGGCCTTTTTGGTGGCCATCACTTCCGTTCGGTGGGTGTCGCAGGACAAGGCAGCAAACTCCAAGTCCCCGTTGCTGGTTTTGCGTCAGGACAAGGCGGTTCTCCGTCCTCGGCCGGCGTTCCTGCCGTAGGTTGTGTAGGCATTCCGTCTGAATGAGGACATTGTCTTACCTTCCCTGTGTCCGATGCCGGTCCATAGGAAGGAGCGTGCGCTCCACTGTTTGGATGTGGTTCGCGCTCTTCGTGTTTTTTTGGAAGCTACGGCTTCTTTCCGCGGGACCGACTCCCTGTTCGTGCTCACGGAGGGTCCTCGTAAGGGTCGGGCCGCGTCGGCGGCTACCATCTCTAGGTGGATACGTGCCGTTGTGACTCAGGCGTACGCCGTTAAGGGGCGTGAGCCTCCGTTTCCTGTCACTGCCCATTCTGCTAGGGCTGTTGGGGCTTCCTGGGCTTTCCGCCACGGGGCCTCTGTTTCTCAGGTTTGTAAGGCTGCTACTTGGTCTTCTGTTCACACCTTTGTTAAGTTCTACAAGGTGGACGTGTTGGCATCGACGGATGCTGGTTTTGGGGCGCAAAGTGTTGCAGGCGGCGCTTTGAGGGGTCTTTTGGGTGTTTTGTTGTTGCCCATCCCTCAGTGTGTTACTGCTTGGTGACGTCCCTACCATTCAGGATCTACGATCTGTTGCCTGTGTCCTTCAATGAACGGGAGAGAAAATAGGATTTTTGTACTCACTGTAAAATCCTTTTCTCTCCGTTCATTGAAGGACACAGGCCCCGCCCTCTTTATGGGGTGTACACTCCTAACTGCTTGTTACTAAACTGGAGACTTGTCAGCAGGTGGGGGGTTTGGCCACCGGCAGGGGCCGCCCCTAGGCTGTAATTGGTCTTTAGTTTTGTGCCTAGCGTCTTTCTCCTGCAGGTGGCGATATTACCCTACCATTCAGGATCTACGATCTGTTGCCTGTGTCCTTCAATGAACGGAGAGAAAAGGATTTTACGGTGAGTACAAAATCCTATTTTTTTTTCTAACCTTATATAGTCAGGCGGAACGCTTGAAATAATTGTTAGGACTCGAGAATCCTTGCTGAAAATCATGAAATCTCCAGGTCATGGTACATTAGTGTGATTAGTTAGTTATAGAAAGTGTTGAAGAGAACAAAGAATATGGCATACGTAGTGTATTTCACTCACACAGAAGATCATTTATCAACACTCTCCTGCTCTATACCCCAAATCTTATTTTTACTAATCAAGTGAAAGGCTAATAATAGTAATAGCAACACAGGCGATGAGAATTATATTGTTCATGTACACTATTGGTCAGTAGAGAAATGCCTCTACATTGGAGGTCAATAGTAAAACGCCTTTTTACACTATATAGTTCAGTAGAAAAATGCCCCCTTACACTATAGGTCAGTAGAAAAATGCCCCCTTACACTAGAGGTCAGTAGAAAAATGCCCCCTTACACTAGAGGTCAGTAAAGAAATGCCCCCTTATGGTGGCAGACTTAGTGTACAGGAGAGGTAGTTCTAGACCTTGTTGGTAGTAGGTAGGTTTGCGGCATCCCAACTCGTGGCTGGTCCTCAGAGTGGGTCCCAGGAGTGCCCTGCTTCAATACAGTCTTGGAAACTCCACCTGTTTGGAGAACCATGATCAATGTATTAGTATATGACACAAGCATAGCCTGATTGACTATGTTTTATGTCATATATTAATTTAAAAAATCTAATTACCTGCTTTTGTTAGACACTTTTTTTTGACTATTTTTCAAACAAGGCTGCACAGAGCTGGAGGTGAAATTTGAGGTGCATTAGCTTTTCAATGGCAGCCCCATATTTCTCCTAGTTCTCTTGTGCTAGTTCACACCAAGCCTGTTCCAGGAGCAGAGCAGTTACAGACCGGATCAAAACTGCGTCCAATGTATTCCAATGGTATTTTGGGCTCTAGTTCACACAGCAGCGTTCAGTTCCAGAGAATGAAAAAAAAACTGCAGCAAGCCCTATTTTACCTGCTCTGGACCACATGCAAATGCATCAAAACGCATGCAAACTCACAAATGCACTGAAAGCCCATTTTAAACCAAAAAAACACAATTTATTTTTGCAAAACACACTGCACTGCGTGTGCAGAAACTCCTGCAGATCTGGTCTGCATTTGGTGTGAACAAGCCCTTAGGATAAAGTTTATTTTTGGTGTCCAGAGGAGGCCAGAAAAGCAAAATAAGAGTAGACACCACTCTACACCACAACCACTAAGCAGATAAAGAAAGTGAAACTGTAAATGGGGTAAAACAAGTGTATTATTGGATGAATAACACATCTGATTTAATATTCCCTCTTCTTAGAGAAACCACGGACTTTTACAGAGAGAGAAAACAGCTTCACCTCCAAAGTATTCACATTTCAGTTTGTTACCCACTTCTCATCTCTCTTCTATGTGGCATTCTTCCTGGGAAGGTAACTGAATTCATATTGAACCTTTTTAATGTTTCCTTAACACATTATAGCTGGTAAATGTAAGTGTTTTTCATTACATACCTATAGTCCTTTTTGGGGGGTTTAGATCTGTTTTAATACCCCGGAGCATACTTTTTATTGTAGAGATCAGTCAATTTTACCCCAGATTAATTTTCACTTTTGAAGTCCAACCTAATATATGAAGAAATAATTTCTTTTTAGACAGATGGCAATTTAATTTAGTAGTTGATTTGAAGACTTATACTTTGTAGATTTTAATTGTGATTAATGATATGTAGATTAGATAAAGATATGTAAATAAAGTGAACCTTTTCATTCTCCATGTCTGTGTACATAGTCGTACTGCCATAGTCTTCTCCATCAGCAGGTTTCACATGGAGTCCTTTTTTTGCTCAAAATGTGTATCTTAAGCAGACTACACAGCACTGTACTTACTGTATATGCAAATGATTACTTTTTGTCAAAGTCAACAGCTCATCTCCATTTCTAACCACCTACACAGACTGATGACCAAGCCTACTGCCCTGCAGAAAGCAGTAGCTAATGACTGCCAGTGGAAGGGCAGAGGTACCAGAGGTGTCTATCTAACATCTGATTGTCACCTTCTCTATGCTGTATGAAAGGCAAGGTGGCAGTGCTGGGGAATAACAGAATTGTCCTTTTACTTCAGAGTTCATATTGGTCCAAGTTTTCTATAAATACTTCTTCCAAAAGAAAGGGTTGCAATTGTGTAGAGACAGACACACAGGTTACAGAAGGTGGAAATCTGTGCAACTGTGCAGTTTCCAATGGTAGAAACCCTGAATGACATCACGTAAATTTGCATGGGACATTACATTAATGCAATTCGCACAGATTTGATCTCTCCTGCCCATTTCATTCATTAGGACTGGGGCAGGGAGGGGGTTAATTAGGGAGTGAATACTTTTTTTGTGTGTTCTAATATTTTGTATTGATATATTTGATCATTTTCTCAATGTTATTAGCAAACAATACATGACTATTGCAGTGATCTATTGCCGGAGGGGGTGACAGGGTGAACTATATTAGCACTTTTAGAATAAAAATGTTTGCCAAAACCTTAAGGGAATCCTGATAACATCAGTTTTGATGTTACAGTTTTTCTTCCATAACCACAATGATGCATTAGGCCCTAGTGGGGCATAAGAGTATAAATCTGGACCTGCGAATTGCTATAATTGCATAATGGAGTACTCTTAAAGAAAGGGCCTGCAAAACCAAGTGATTGATTCATCCATAGCATGAGGAAAGATTGCATTCGGGGCTGTCTGTCTATAGTTGTCCCAGCAAGGATCTGAAGTAAAGTAACTACTACCATGTCTCTTTTCTGAAAAACAGGATAAATGGCCACCCTGGAAACTACGTACGTATTGCAGGACACTGGAGACTGGAAGAAGTAAGTGAATTAGCTGACATGGCTATATAAGTAGAGATATGCAGACAGTCATTGACTCTATTTCTGCTTTCCAGTGTCACCCCAGTGGCTGCATCACTGACCTGTTCATACAGATGTGCATCATCATGCTTCTGAAACAGACCCTTAGCAACTGTGTGGAATTCCTGTCCCCGTAAGTAGTGAAAAAGTGTCATTATAGATAGTGTGGTGCTCCTAATGCTTGTTCATGTCTTATGCTGTCATGCCTATATGTCCATGCAAGCTTCAACATTTAACCAATATTCTGCCATGACCAGAATTGGTGGCAGGCACTGAAGACAATATACACTGCTCCTTTAGCTACTATTGTCCCACTGGTGCGCCTACAATTTCCCATTTGTACAGGTAGATGTCACATGTTGCAGGTCTGTATATTACTTGCTTTGAAGCGGCCTTTACATTTAATCAGTTACAAGCAACCTAGACATGATAGACATCGCATGTGATGTGTAAACTTTTATGTTCTGCTGGAGTGAATCTAGGAATTGACTCCTTACATTTTACAACGTGGACAGGCAGAGCTTAAGACATTTTAGCAGAATTCAGTACAAACTTGTAAACTGGGTCAGAAGGCTTCAATTTGAGAATAAATTATTGAATTTATTGAAATATGACTTGTCTTAGTAAACATGTCTTCTGTGAGAAGGTGTGTTATGTAACTTAAAGTTCCTGACAAGTTCCAATGTACCGCAACAGTATAGTTTTTCAAAAAAGCTCTATCATTTTATGATTTGAGAAGCAATTATTGAGCTCCAATCAAGTGATCTGGTCCAGGCTAAGATGATGTCACCAGTTTGCTGTAGGTAGGATAAAGCATTTCCCCAGTCTCCTCCTTCCCCATTGAACGGAATGCAATGCTTTAACTTTGTAACAAGTCACAAGGCTTTTTTGAATGGAGGAGTTTTGGTCACTTCGAAAAGGAATACATGCCAGGGACCCAAAGGGAGACAGGAAGTAGTGTGAGTTTCTAGAAGGCAGACTGCTAGTACAACTAAAGCAGTGTTGTAGGTATCTCCTTTGTTGACAATGATTCCTAGACCACTATAGGTAAAGGAGAGAACCCTGCAGTAGAAATCTCTTTTAGGTAGGCTTTCTCTAATGGAAACATTGATTGGAGGTGTTCAAAGGGAGCCAGAGAGTGGGGAATGTGTAATTATGTGTAAATTTCAGTATGAGCTACTCTCCGTAAACAGGCTTTTAACAACAACAAAGCAAAGGAGACACTGGAAACATGTTAAAAGGATCTTACAGCTCCATCTGCAACTCAGAAAGAGAATACAAAGTATTAATATGCAATAGTTTTGTACTTTAACTGGCTAAAACAAAAAAGAAAATAAGAAACCATTTAAAAATATATATTTCTAATACTGACCATAATAAAGAAACAAAATATGTACAAACCCCTACATATTTCCTTAAGACAAATCATTGATGTTTTTGTTACTCTGAAAGCTACTGGCATTTTATAGTTAAAAAATTCAGGGTATAGATTACAAAACACAACTTTTTTTTTTTTTTTTTTTTTAAACTCGGTAATCCCAGGGATTCAATAACCATTCACAAAGCTTAACTGTAATCCTTAAATTGGTGATCATGGGAATTTAGGAAAGAGTCTGAGAGCAATTTGTTTCTAACCGCAGCATTAAGGTAATGGGTCTCCCATTGCCTTGCAAATACTGCTAAAAGCAAAAGTGCAAATGACAGGGAAACATGCTTAGTGACAGCATGTCATCACTTGTAAAGCACTCAATAACTTTAAAGATCATGTTTTTATTACATTTCTTGCTAGACTACAATTATCTACTGAAATCAAATGTGCAATTGGTTGATTTGAGTTATCACACAGCAACAATCTTTGTACAATGGTGTGAATGTGACATGTTCATGCAAAAATGAACTCAAATATTGGTTATATCTAAGATTTTTCCCAATTGCAGATTCATTGGCTACAAGGTGCGTAAGTTCAGAGATCAGAGGAGCAGGGTGCATAGTGAAAAGTGTGCCGAGGACCGTACAATGGAGTCCTGGAAAGACAATTACAGATTGGGCCAAATTCACATATTCAGCCTCTTTGATGAATTTCTAGAAATGGGTAGGTCTCGCCCATGTGATGGGATTGTTGTGATGCAGCTCGTCTTCAGTCTTTCACTCTTTATCATTTTGATTTTTTTTTAGTCATACAGTACAGTTTTACAACAATCTTTGTGGCTGCATTTCCTCTTGCTCCTCTCCTTGCCTTCGTCAACAATATGTTAGAGATTCGCCTTGACGCCATCAAAATGACCCGTTTACAGCGCAGACTGGTACCAAGGAAAGCAAATGATATTGGTAAAAAATTTTGTTTATTATTTATCTTGGTTCAGTGTTATCTGTAGCTATGCTTTATTGCCCATTCACACTTGGGCAAGTGGTAACTGGTAAAGTGGTGCATATTTGTGTGGTATGGCGTGTTGCATTAAGGCAGCTCATTCATTTTGAATGGGCTGTTAAAAGTATCTAAATGCATAAACAGCTGCGCCCACACTTTTTTTTTTTACCAACACAGTGCACCACAATGCACAGAGTATTCACATCTCTCCATTGTGGTGTGCTATAACACAGGTGCATTTTGACTTGCTATATATTCGCATTAGGTTGCCATTTAAAAGGAATTGCAGCAGCATAGTCAATGCAACTGGTGTAGAACTGCAAGTTACTACAGTCGAATAATGTGCATTCAACTTAAATCCTTGACTGCATGGTCATTGAATCACTCCTGGACTTATTTATGGATCTTCAAAACTGGTAGCCTCCGAAAATTTATTGACTGTCCTGAAAGGAGAACTATGAGGCGAGTGAAAATCACTCAGCCTCATAGTTCTAGCCGACCTGTGACAATGAAACTGTCACATGTCGGCTCAATAGATCGGGAAGTGAGCGAACACATATCGTCGCTCGCTCACTTCTCGATCTATCCCTGCAGAGAGCTGTGACTGTCACTCGCAGCTCCCTGCAGGGATTCCCCCCTCCCCTTTCCGATCCTTTTGGCATGGAGTTGCCTTCTCTATGTTGGAATGCCAGATCATTCTCTTTGGGTAGAAACATCAGCATTTCCTGGTAGTAAGGGAGCTTGCCCACCCTCTGTTGCCTTCTACACATACCTACTGTATTGAGTGAGGCAGCCCATCACAGTGATGGGCCAAAAGAAATGCGGGGGAAGCTGGGAGTGGGAAAGCTGCAACACTACCATAAAGAACATTTAGAACAGCCTGGCATTCAGCGGTAAGGTGGGCAATGAAAGTCACTGCAGATAGATACCTGATCTTCACACATGTCAGCTTTTTGAATTAGTTACTTTATGGATAGAAAAAGACTTGGCTTTTTAATCCTTGACATAGGATGAGCCCTACTACACCACAGACTGAATTGTTTTGTCTACAGATAGAATTTAATAGTGGTCTGGTGCATGTGTTTTTTTTCCTAGGTATCTGGCTACTGGTCCTTGAAGGAATTGGAGTTCTGGCTGTTATTACTAATGGTCTAGTTATCGCCATCACATCTGACTTCATTCCACGGCTCGTATACAAATACAAATATGGACCATGTGGACAAGGAGAGACAGATATTGAGTAAGATGTGCAGATTAAAAGAAAATGAATGGGTATAGATGACAAGGAATAGAATACAGGGCCATTATCTTTTGTTCTAATTGCAATAAAGTATGTTATGCTCTTCAAAGGATATTGTACACAGTGATCACAGTGGCAATGGTCTCCAAGACAAATCAGTAGGAGCCAAAAATCAGTAGGAACCAATGCATTTTCAGGAACAGACCTTTGGTGAAAGAGGGTGCATGTACACAGTGAATCCTGTCTTAGAGGAGCTTATATGAACATAAGTTTGTGAACGGCCAGATGGACGTCTGCTCAGAGCGGGAGGGCGTCTTAAGACGTCCTGCCCCTCCCCCCAGCGATGGCTGTTTACATACAAGCGGTCAGGCGTCTCTAGAGACGCCCGATCGCTTGCAGGATCTGCGGGTGTGCGCCGCCCCCCCCCCCCGTACCTCCTCCTGCTCGTCTCTTCGCCGCCGCTGCCGGTCCCGTGTTCCGATGTGGCCGGTGCGGCTGGGACCGGCACGGCGACGCTCTAACAGGAGATCAAAGGGATGATCATTACTTGATCATCCCTTTGATCTCTCTTCTTGTCCCCGAATGCAGGAAGTGATGTATATTACATCACTTCCTGCATTCAGTGTCACTCTCCGGTGCAGAACACCGGAGAGAAGCTGATGGAGCAGATCTGTGCTTCATCAGCTTCTGTGGGGGTCCCTAGGTGACATCAGAGGTCTTGAGACCCCTGATGTCTCCATAAAGAGGACCTGTTTAGTGAACTGGCTATTACATAGGGGATTCCTTAGTCCCCTATGTTATAGCAATAAAGTGAAGTAAAAAAAAAAAATGACAGCATTAAAAAAAATAAAGAAGCTAAAAAAAATAACACAAACATTTTTTTAAAGTCCCTCGCCCCCCAGATACACAAGAACAATAATTCTAGAGCCATAAATCACTGATGACACTAAACTGATAAGCGGTAAAAACGTTTAAAGCGTCACCTATGGCCAATTTTGGCTGCGGTCGTTTTCTGCGATTTTGCGGGCACGCGCAATTTTAATGGTTGACATGTTTAGTGTCTATTTACCCAACGTGACCCCGACTTTTATATTTTACCAAAAAATTGGGGTGAAAAAAAATGTTTCATAACATTTTATAGGGAAACATGTTTTTTTTCAAAATTTAGGGTACTTTTTTTGTTATATAGTAAAAAATAAAAACCCCATTGGTGAATAAAAGCCACCAAAAGAAAGCTCTATCTGTCCCCAAAAAAATTGTATGAAAATCGTTTCAGTAAAGCGTTGCATGACGGAATAAACATCAGTCAAAGTACCGCAGCGCTGAATACTGAAAAATGGCCTGGCCAGGAAGGGGGTGAAACACTATGGCCTTCAAGTGGTTAATCCCCGTATGGAGCGGAGACCTTACTAAGAGCAGATGTGTCTAATTTTGTGTGCTTAATGTGCCATGGGTTTGCAAATATAATAGGCACATACAGTGCTGGACATTTCTAAAGAAGGAACAACTATTCCAAGACCAAATTACCAAATAACTATAAAATGAATGCTATCAACTATCCAAATAATCACTTGAGCCGAGGTGAAATCAAGCTGAGTACACAGTGATAATGTAAACAGTGAAAGGCACACTAATTAGAGGTGAGGATTGCTACAGAAAAAAAAGTTGGCTTCTGCATTTCAGTTTATGAAAACCCTAAAAATAAACTTCTCATTTGCTCCTTTTCATAGTTAAATGTACCATTGAAAACATTTGTATTTATTTCCATTATAACTACACAAATGTGCCTGTTGATCATGCCAGAAATCCAGTGCCGTCCTGTGTCCTATGCACACTGTAATGGTATCACAAGCATTGTTCTAAGCCCTTCCAGTTCAGCTCTACAGAACTCCTCCCCAATGTTATGGGCATGAGGAGAGGGGGTATTCTGTAATCTTAACACGCTTCCTGTCCTATGGTGACAACTCTGCTTCTTCATACCTACAGTACAATGAATGAGTGTTGTCACCCAATGACAAGAAGTATGTTACTAGCAAGATTACCTGCTGTAAAAGGAAAAAAAAGCCAGAAAAAATAATAAGTAATGCAGCCATCGCTGACTGGTATACTGCAAAATATTTTTGTTGTTGGGTTCAGATACACTTTTAAGAGCATCTTAGGGTTCCCATGTGCAGTCAAAACAGGACTCAAAACCAGTTTTAATGTGATGCAAGAGCCGCATACTAAAAAAAAAAAAAAAAAATCATTCTAAATCAGTCAAATCCTCCTTTATTTATATCTCACCTGCTCCCCCTCCCAGACCCTGCAGCCAAAAGTCACTTCTGCCGATCCAGAAAGCAGTGGGCAGGACTAGGTGTGGCTAGGTGTTGATTGACAAGCTACAGGCTTATAAATCAACAGTGACAATTCTGATAACCATGTCCCCTGGAGCATCTCATCCCACTGTAGTTCAGGCAGCCACAGCCTACATAAGGGACAATGCTGCTCTGAATTCACTGTCAGTGCAGCAGAGTTGTCCCCATCACATGAAGCTGAACGCGGTGGACTTCACTGGCATGATAAACAGGTATATGTGAGCGTTTGCAGGGTGACCAGGAGAAAACTGTGTGCAGATGCTCTTACAACTAAGTGTTGTACCACAATTCTACTTTAAGGTACAGAGTCTTATGTTTGGCCACTTCTAGGAAAAAAGAGCAAAAAGGAGTTTCTAATTTATGGTTAAACGACAGATCAGAGTCTGATCTATGAATTGTTTCCCCTTTTTTTCAGTTGTCTCGCAGGATACATTAATCAGAGTCTGTCCACCTTCCGCACTAGCGACTTTGAGGAGCTAACCCAAGTTTCAAAATCTCTGTACCCAAATACCACTGTGTGCAGGTAATTATACCAGTGAACTCACAATCCTGTGTTTTGTGTCAGTCATTTTTTTTGTCCAGTCACTGTGCCAGTTCTTGCTACTTGCAATAATTTGCAAACCCCTATGCTGCTCTTTGTGCAGGTACCGTGATTACCGTACAGCTGATGAGGAATACAATTATTCTGTACAGTTTTGGCATATCTTTGCTGCTAGACTTGTGTTTGTCATTGTGTTTGAGGTGAGTAACATTCCATGCATTATGTGTGTTCCATACTGTGAAGTAGGCTGATCTATGAACCACAAAAATGTAAGCTTACAAATACCCCAAATTAATTATATAATATGAAATAATGTTTAATGTATGCCTAAGAGCAGATACTATTAAATGCTTGCCATAACCTCTAAGTCAGAAAATCCTCTTCTTTGCCCCTCTCTGATTTAAGCTGAGACACACACTCACATACAGTACATGCACACATACTGTATACCTCTATGCATATACATACACAATCACTCTATACACATACACGCAATCACTTACCCCTCTGATGGCATAGTGGTATCACAAAAGATGTGTTGGGAGCACTGGACCCAAAATGGAAAAACACGTTTGATATTCAGGGGACAAAAGGCAGCTCTCTGTTACACAGGATTTGCAGGGAGGAGGCGAGGAGGCACAATCTCTGGTAGCAACCTTACTAATCCATCCTTTCGACCGGCATTCAGTGAAGACTTGTCAGAACGCCAGCCGAAAGGACCTGAGCGCCGGTGTTCTGTCGAGAATGCCGACCCAGTCGAATTGACCATCTGCGCTTGCGCACACACCGGGATGAACAAGAATATTACATTCTCGACAGAAGCAGCAATGCGGTCTGTATCCAACAGAGATGCAGACCGTGTAGCTGCTTCCGCAAGACAGGTATATGGTCCGTGACTGTGTGCCTGACTTATCATCTGGCTGCGGGCCACATAGTACCGATTTGCTGGGCGAAGTTGGCCGCGGACCGGTACTTTGAGACCCCTTCTCTAGGCACTATAAACTCTGTACAGTATTCCAAAGAATAACAAAACAGCTGTGATCTTGCAATGTTTCCAACAAACAAACAAAAACTGCATTTGTAACTAACTCAGTAATGTATACATATAAAGAGGCAGTAAAGGAAAGCTATGTGTTCAGCCTGAAAAACCATAATACAATACCATAATAAAATGTGTATAACTGTGGCTTTGGAGATGTTTTTGTTTAGGGGGGAACATAAAAAGCAGTTATACTTTCCTTATTCCCCCTTCCCCCAGCAACTGTTACTTCTCTACTCTCTCTGATGCCCCGGGTTGTGGGTGAGCCCTTGGTGTCCTCACTTACAATGCAGGACTGCATTGTACATTATGGCATCGGAGGGCAACCAATAAAGCGGCGAGAAGAAGTGGCTTTGTTGACCGGACGTGCAGCTGGAAGGAGGGATAAGGTAAGTATAACGGCTTTTTTTGTTTCCAATAGACAAAAATGAACATTTTAACCCTTGCAGTGTAGAGGGAGTCGCACTGCAAGGGTGAATTTTTCCTGGAGTTTAGCCTTAAAAACACATGCATACCAAGCCAGATGTAACAATAAGAACAAGCATGTAACCCTTACAAAGCAGGATGGAACCCCACTGCAAGTGCCAATTTTTATTTTAACAGATTTAAGTATATTATTATGTCAGTTTTTCATGTCTGCTTATGTTTTTCTTTTGTACTGTTTTAGCACGTGGCAGTATGCATAAAATTCATTGCTGCCTGGTTTGTACCCGATGTCCCTCAGGCTGTGAAGAACAAAAGTCTAGAGAAGAAGCTTGAACTGCTGCTGAACGAGCTTGGGTAATTACCCATAATGCATCACTACAGAGCAGAGCCATAGCTAGCTCCTTTTGCGCCATCAGGCAAGAACAGAAAATTGTGATGTCACCCGATGGCGACTTCGTATGGTTTTGGGCTTCAGGGAAATATCAGGGGTCTAAATAGACCCCTGAAATTTCCCTTTTGAAATAGAAAAAGAAATTGAGGACACAGAGTCCTCAATCTCTTTTTTTCTGCAGCTTCTGTTCTAAATGAATGGAAAGCACTCAGTACAGAGGCTTACCATTCATTCAGAAACTGAAATATTTACTATCATCTAGTTATCAATGGGTGGAAGCCTCTATAGTGAGTGCATTGAGAAACTCATGAATGAACAGGAAGTGATGTAAAGCACTTCCTGTTCATTCATAACTGGGGACACATACTGCTATGTGTTGTTTACAAGCATTGGAGTGATCAGCTGATCACTTCAGAATTTGATCTGCACAAAGAGGATCGGTAAATATCACTGATATTTACTGATCCTCCGCTCTGCCATCCTGAGCACTGAAGCCAGCGGGAGGGACCGAGGAGGTAGCGCTGAAGCCAGAAGGGGGGCGGAGGAGGGATCACTGTTACTTCAGGATGGCCAAGGAGTGAGGAGAGAGAGAGCCACCGGCTGTCAGGTCCCGGCCAAGCAGCTCTCTCTCTCCTCACCGCTCCGCTATCCTGGATGACAGATGTATGATATGGTAAATAAGTTGCGCTTGATCTAAATAAATGTGGATTCCAAAGTGGAAAATATCATGAATAACACACGTACATCTATACAAATAACCAAATATTCTATCCTAATGTGTCATGGATGACAGCTCCCTCCTCTGCACCCCCCCCCCCCCACCCCCTCTCCATTTCTCATCGGATCCCCGCTGCCTCTGCCCATACAGTCAGGGAAGAGCAGTGGAGATCTGAGGAGAAGCTGGAGCCTGCACAGCCCCTCTTCTCTCTGCTGAGCCACGGCTGTGTTGGCCGCCTGATGCCCCTGTTGCCATGGTGCCCTGGATCCCTAAAAGTCTAATACGGAGCAATCAAGTTACCCTAACCTATGTCTAACCCGAATCTCAAACTAACCACTCCACCTAACTCTTAAAGTGTAACGTGATAAAAAGTGATCCCTACTCGCTGAATAATCATGGCAAGTATTATTTTTGCAAAATGTCTGTTCTGAAGGAATTACTGTTTGTTTTACCATGTCCTTTCTCCAACTAATTTCCCAATTACTCCATTATAACCACCTGGTGTGGTGCATTCTCAGAGTTGTAAAAAAAACTGTGGTGTCTGCCTACTTTTAGATGAGGATGAGCCTCAGAAATTTCAAACATAAAAAAATTTGTTGTAGATAATGACTACAAATTGACTTCATGTTAAAGAAAATGTGTGTCTATATGTGGTTCACCTCTTAAGTTTTTTCCCTTAAAAGGCCCCCCCCCCCCCCCCCCCCCCCCCCGCGCCTCATCTCACCCTGCTCTCCTTCCTATTGGTTGTGAGGCAGCTGATTTGCTTTCTATAGAAAAAGGCTAGTAGGAAGAGGTGGGCCATAACAGGATCAGCCTGCTTAATGGATCAGGGGCTGTCTTGGGAGGTGAAGACTACCCCTCACTGATTTGCTTTAACCCCAAACTGATCTCTAAACCTGTCCTTTTAACCCGAGCCTACTAATAAATCTTAAACATGGCTGTACCCCTAAACCTCACCCTTAAGATCCTCCCAACACCCTAAATCTAAACCTAACCATTAAAATGTGTCAATGCTAGTTTTGAGATCACATTTAAAATTTGATTTGATTATACAATACACCAAAAGAAAGTGAGCTCCACAAAATTGGCCCTGGAATGTTCAGTCTGAAAAGTCCATAGATAATTCCCTTCATCTAGCCATACAAAAGCTTTCCAGTACAGGCACTTTATTACAGCCGTTTCCAGAGCCACTAACTTTCCCCTACTCCATCCCACAGAGAGATGCCAGAAGAGAATGATGAGTTATCCCATGACAGCTCCCCCCACCCATACAGAAACCTACTAGAGGACCTCAGGTAACTTTCAATGCTAGATTTGCCCTTTATTACATAAAGCTAAATAAAGTAAAGTCTCCCTGGGTATCTCATATTCCCTCAATGTACTTAAATATGATTAAATTACTGACAGCACACCTAAGATATATATAAATATATATTAATTGTTTGTTTTATTTTTCAAGTTTGATAGAACGTTCAACAGAGGTATGAGTAGCACCAAACCTTGGGGGTAACAGAAGATGTCATTTGGCAATAATGGCAAACCTCAAGGAGAATAGAAGATGTCACCGGAAGTATCACCCAACCTCAGGGGATATAGAAGATGTCACTGGAAGTACCACCAAACCTCAGGGGATATAGAAGATGTCACTGGAAATACAACCAAACCTTCAAGGTTATAGCAGATGTCATTATTAATACCACCAAGAATGTATCATTGGCAGTAGCCTAAAGAGACTGTGAAGTAAAATCCTAACCAAATATATTTTGGTAATTTGTAAATATGTTTTATAATAAAACAGTCCTTTTTAAAATGTCTTTGTACGTTTTGATTTAAACAAAATGCTGTATGTATTATTGCCCACAGTGCTGAAATGTGTATAATATTGTTAGTGGGTGGTCTGCTAAAAACCTTGCATGGAACTCGCAACAGAGTAATGCTAAAGGGCATCAGACATCCTTAGACAATAGACTCCAGACTCACCAATCCCTTCCAGCTTCCACAATGCAGGAATATTCTAGTTGTGCAGAGGATGACACTGTGTAGAATAGCAACAGCTTAATAGGGGATATGCATGAGATCTTCCCTGGGGGAGACACCAGACTTGTTCCTGAGGTCCATGCCATCATGGCCTTCCTGGCAGCTCCAGCAGTCATAGGGCTCCTCTGGTTCTCCTTCCCAGATGGTTCCAGAACCGCCCTGGGTCCACATGTGGCCCCCTCCAGGCTTGAGGCCTAGCCAGCTTCTCCAACCTTGTACATCCCACCCCCAGGAAAGGGGCCTGGGGGCGGACTGACCTGAGCACATGGCAATTCCTAAGTATTTTTGATCTTCCTCAGCATGCACCACTGGCAATGAAACTCCTAGGGGTCTATTCCCTAAGCTGCCGTAGGCACCTGAGTGAATGACCAACCTGAAGTGAAGTGAGCCGATGGTCCCTCAGAGGTACCGAGCAGAACAGAAAGAGTAAAAAAAGTAAATAGAAAGCGATTGTGCGGAGCTAGCAGTGACAGCTAGCTCCGCCCAATAGTTTCCTATTGTCCGGCGGCTCTGCTGCTGTCAAAAAAAAACTCTCCCAGGCGCTCTGGGAGCCTCCCGGTCGCCCAGGAGAGAAACAACTGCTGTGTCTTTTTTTTTTTTTTCTTTATTCTGACACAATCGATGTCAGAATAGAAAAAAAAAGAAATGTTCCCATTGAAAAGCATTGGTACATTACTATTGGCTATTGCAATTTGCAATAGCCAATAGTAAACTAGCATTGTACCTGCCCTCTGCGATTGGACCTGATAGAGAACTGCAGCAGAGGGCGGGTACAGTGCTAGTTTACATTGATCGTGTCAGAATAAAGAAAAAAAAGACAGCAGTGTTTTCTCTCCTTGGCGGCCGGGAGCAGGAGACTCCCGGGGCGCCAGGAAGAGTTTTCTGTTTGGAGATCAATGTCCCTGGTTAGCAGGTAACCAGGGACGCTGATCTCTCTGCAAGTGGCTGGAGCCAGCCGTAAGATCACGGCTGGCTCCGCCCAGCTGTCAGAATCAGGCTGTCGGCCGGCTGGCTCGACTGAGCTGCTCAGCCATATTCATGAGCTGTACGGGCTATTGTGAATAGCCCGTACAGCACCCCTTCGTTTCTACTGAACCAAAGGGGTCCTGGGGCCGAAGCTAGCCGAAGGGATCAGCCGAAGCTAAGGCCAGATCCTTCGGCAGCTTCGTGAATAGACTCCCTAGTGATTGGCTGATGAGGTATAGACGCTCCTAATTTTACCCTATTGGCTGCCCCACTCTGTGGCAGGGTCACACTCACAGGTAGGTGCAATCAAGACCAGAACACCTTGAAATGACCAAGTGACACCAGATGACAAATCAGCCAGACTGATTACAGTTCCAGCAACACTAAATTTAAGTGGCCACTCCACATAGGGTGGAAGGGGCTACAGGCAGGTGCAGGGGTAATATTGCCTGTGATAGGGAAAGTATATTAGCGTTTGATAAAATTTTTACAGAATGCAGTTTAAGAAACGTATGTTTTGTGACATTTTTCAATAAATATGTAATACAAGTTACTTCAGTGATGTACACTTTGCAGGGCATGCTGGGCTCTCTAGTCAGAAAGCCCAGCACTGACTGCTTGGAGAAGTCCTGCATATATCAGAGTAAGGCATATATCAGAGTAAGGACTTATTCCCAGGTTTGGCATATATGGCACATGCCCTTGAAGGGAAGGCACCACTCCGTAGGTCAGCAATCATTTGCTGACACACGGAGACAGATTTTTTTTTTTCTCTCCCCAACCCTATCCCATACACATTTCACCTCCGGCTCTTCACAACCAGGGATGCTCTGGTGGGCGTCCCGTCTGGCTCCTGGAAACCAGTGAAGAATACCATTCTGGTGTAACTTTTATTCGTACAGTTTATTTTTAAGTATAAAATGCTCCAGGGTCATCTGATCTAGTCAAAAGTATGGCAAGCATGTCTTGACCACTCTTGATAAGCCATAGAAAACAATAGGCAAACGCGGTCTGAAAAGCTGCCGCTGCCATCAACGTGGCCCCCCAGTAAAACCTAAATAAAAACTGTGGACAAGCTGAACACTTTCAAGTAATTCGCAGGGGCAATTTATCAATGTGCCCGACCTTGTTCGACCATGACCAGCACATTTGGATACTATCTGAGTTTCAGTGTATGCATAATGGCCTGTGCCAACTAACACTAATGGCTTTGCCAGAAAATACAACATTAGTTTGAGATGCTTCTGAGATCATTCACAATTCATTGCAGTTGACTACTTCCAGCCTGCTTCAGCTGCTTTTGTATTTCCATGGACTTATGAGGAGAGAAGCAGTTCTGAAGCTAACAAAAGCAGACATCCCAATTCTGCTATCTGCTGCTTCCCCTGTCCATGGCCAGCAGGTGGCGTGCACAGCAAACAATTCAATTTATGGCCAGCAGGTGGCGTTCCCAACAAACAATCATATCCTTGGCCAACAGGTGGCGAGTTCAACAATTAATGATATCCATGGCCAGCAGGTGGCGCTCCTAACAAACAATCATGTCCACGGCCAGCAGGTGGCGCTCCAAATGTTGGCGATGGCTGTACAGTCTGCCGCGCTCTGCCTGCTGGGAGTTGTATTTTTGTTGCCGCAGGAAGGCGCCGAGTCCCGGGAGGGGGTGACCTTTGACCTCGCAGCATGGAGGCTGAGCAGAGAGAGGCGATTATAACTGAGCTGAGGGCGATCCAGATCAGTACGGCCAGCCTGTAAGTCCTCCGTGTACTTGGAATGGAGCAGACAATTGCGGGTATGGAGGAGACTGTAGTGATGCATCACCAGAGAAGCTGATGTGTCCCGGCATACACAGGCAGACCGGGCGCTATAATCGGTGCACCTTGTGCATGTTATCTGTATCTGGGGGTTGTAAACAGGTAGCTGGGGGTTATCTTTAGCCTTCTGGGGTGTCTGGGCAGGAGATGTGTGTGGGTGAACAGTCATGTACACCGTGCAGCCATCTGTCATCCATCTGATAACTCCAACTGTACTGAGAGATCACATTAGATTCCATGCTACAGATAGCAGTGCACATAGAGGGGAATGTATCTAAACTGGAGCAGTGTCATAGTAACCAATCAGCTTCTAGCTTTCATTTTCTGAAGAGAGAAGCCGATTGGTCCCCATACATGTTACAGTCTGTGATGACATGATCCACACATCTCTGCATGTCCATCTCTTATCTGTGTCCAGGGACAATGATAAATAATACAATCTCATGGAGAGCAATTGAGTGAATAGTCATTGATATCAGATTGTATACGTGAGGATATAACCGTCATCTCCTTCCATTGCAGGGTGAAATCTCTGAGCCTGTTAGTGGAATATACGGACCCTGAGAGCGGGGAGCTAACACGTGCACAGGACAAGGTACAGAGCAAACAAAACCTTCCCTTCTTTATGTCGCAATCTAAATTTAATGGGAATTTCACCGTTTAACAATAATAAATGTGCTCTTTTTCATAAAAGAAAACATCTGAATGATTATGTTTTGCATTGGAGCCAGGAAAACATGGCAACTGTGATCAGTAGATTGTGGGCGCGATGCTCTGACTCCTGCAGACTCTTTCTCCCATCCATGTCCATACCTCGGTAAGGACATTCAGTGACATGGAAGGAAGAATGAATGAAGTGACGTCACTGCACTTGTATTCTATTTAGAACAACAGGTCTATGCCACGGTGGCTGATTGAACTTGTAGTTTCTCCACTGTGATTGGATGATGCGGCTGTACCGCATTAAAAAATGCAAACAAGCCACGGGGGGAACCCTGCGTATCTGGTAGGGGTGTGTAGGGGG